GAATAAATAAATAAATAAAGAAATGAATATAAATAAATGAATAAATGAGTAAATAAATAAATGAATAAATGAGTAAATAAATAAATGAATAAATAAATGAATAAATAAATAAATGAATAAATAAATAAATGAATAGATAAATAAATAGAAAATAAGTAAATGCAACTAAATACATAAATAAACAAGTGGGTAAATAATGTGATGGATAAATAAATGAGTTAACCAAATTGCACTGCCATTGCTTGTCTAATTGGCTATGAAAATTATATATTTATAATTAAGAGGTCGGACAACGAAGGTGATAGAATACAAAATTTTAGTCCATTAGAGTATGGTGAGCAGACATGTTAAAGGTTATCTCTATGTTAGATAGTAAATCATGTTGTGGGTATAATAATAACTTACTAGTTCAATCCATCTACCTAGCACCAAATATTATATCTCATAATGTCATATGAGGTGTTTATGGTTACGCAATAAGGTGTAGAGCAACCTACACTGCATTAATAGGGGTTGGGGCCTTGACAATATTTAACAGTTCTTATTTCACCATTTGTTTCCTTCAGTTGACCTTCTCCAACTGCACGATGTTGAATCTCAATATATACATACCATGCTGCTATCAGCTACAAGCGTGCTTAATATATCGACAAATATTCATTGACGTCCCCCGCGTACACCTCTTTCAATGGTTAAGAGTAAACAATATTCATTAATTTATTGGTGTGAACATTATTCTTTACCGTGTGAAACTAATAATGATTATTCTTTTTATACATATATGCTGACAGATTTTGTGTCAACGCCATCTAATGTAATTTTTATGTTGCTAATTCTGCAAATGGAATGAGATTCACGTTCCATGCATATTTCGCTAGATATTCAGATACACTTCCCCATTCCAAAAACGCCATCATTGTTCATAAGGCGTGCAAAAATTATTAGTTGCCAACCATTAAAGGCACAGTATATCAAGGAATTTATAAATTGAAATATATAAGTTGCGAGCCAGAGGACCGTCTATCCATCCTGCAGCAACACAGATCGAAAAGAAGGGAGTGAAGGAAGAACATGGATAAATAGCATTCACTAAGGGGGTCTAATGCACGATAAAGCAATATCAATCAAAGTAATGGATCAAGTATGCATCCGAATTCAGCCCAATTATAAGAGCAGTTAGTGCCCATTAGCATTTGTAGTTGTCCCGATATTTAATAGGATGTGGAACAGAGGTGAAGATAGATGATAAATTATATGATTCCATGATACTGAATTGTGTTTGGTTATGTAACGAAATCAAATCCTGTTGAGATTGCGAGGACTTCCAGTTTCCAGTTCTTTAACTACAATATGCCTTCAGTAAGGCAAATATATGAAGGATTGTTGTGGCAGCCACTTTAGTAGAATTTTGGTGAATTAGGTGAAGGCAAGTGAGGCTGTGAGATACTGAGGCGTACACCATCCATGCACGAATCGTATTATGTTGGCAGAAAACTTTGACTGTTAAATTGTTTAGTATTTGTCATATGTCATTTTGTATTTAAATAATTATTTACTAATAATACAAGTTTTAAATACTTAAAAAGCTCTACATACGAACTAAAAAACATTGTGCATACACAAGTGCCAGTAATAGTGGTCAGTTATGTATACATACTTAAATTATGCTTGGTACTGTTCATAAATAAACATTATATAATAAATAGATAAATACTGAAGCAGACGACAACTGCAGACAGTAATACTTCCTTTTTGAGGTCTGCATGCTGATCTTAATTATATCTCATAAGAGATATATAAATAGAACCATAGTATAAATGTGGTATAGAAATATATGCTGGTGCACATCTTAAAATATTGTGTCATAATAGCAGATACCCTTCCTTTCAAACCTCTGGTACATGCCTTATGTGCCTAACTGTTAACTGGAAAACCAGTTAATTTAATTTTTTTGTACAGTATCTTTAGATATTTCAGGTGTAGCATTTCAGTGAATATTAAGTGTATTATCTATATACATAAAAGAAAGTCGTGTTAGTTAGACCACTCATAACTCAAGAACGGCTGAACCGATTTTAAATATCTTTGATTTGTTGGAATCGTCTCCGCTCCGAATAGCAGAATACATTATAAAATATTGGAAAAATCCACTAATTTTAGCAAAAATAATAAATTTGTGAATGCTGTTTCAAACTGTTGACAGTTCGACAGTTTGAGTGATATTGATTTCTTTTTAATTTTTTTTTTCAAATATTTCAAATATGTATTTCAAATTTCAAATATAATAAATTCAAATATAATAAATAAATATTGTTATCAATATATGAGGTGAAAGTATCGATTTGTTTTGCGCGAGTGTTTAATATTAACAATGCCGCCACCCAGAAAGTCTAATCTTTCTCAACAAAGCCGTAATGCAATTAGGCGTCGAACCATTACGCATGCATCCACTGAAGAAGAACGAGAACCGCACAAGAAAGGAGCCTCATTGGTATGACCCGCCTTCGCGCTTCTCAAACACAAGAGCAAAGAGAGGCAGCCCATGAAACGGCTCGGTTGGCAATGAGAAATCGTCAAGCTTATCACACAGACCAACAACGAGAAAATATGCGACGATCAAGAAGAAATGCCTCAACTATTGATTTGTATCGAGCAGCGTTTCTATACGATTGCGCAAATGATTACACTTCCCATCCTTTCGTTCGCATTGGTCCAATGGACGTTACTTGCGAACATTGCGGAGCATTAAAGTTTGCTGGGGAATCGCCGGGATTGTGCTGCCTTAATGGTAAAGTGAAATTGCCATTATTGACTCCGCCACCTGAGTCATTGCATTCATTGCTTTATGGTGAAACACCAGAATCACGCCATTTTCTAGCGAACACTCAAAAGTACAATAGCTGCTTTCAAATGACTTCATTCGGGGCGGACATTATCGAAGAATATGGATTTAATCAGACGTTCAAGGTAATTTATGTTCAAAAGAGCAAATGTTCATTTTCTTTAAGAAATTAAAGATAAAAAATTTGATCAAATGTGAAATATAGGTGAAAAACTTTTGTTATATTCCTGTATTTGTGTCTAAAATAAATAATTTAAAATGTTAACATTTTAGAGTATAATCTTTTTAAACAAATCAATGAAGCATGAATAACTTTTAAATGTCTAATATAAATGTATATAGATACCAAAAAACTGTATAATAATTAAAAAAAACGTTATCCAGTGGACCAAATTGTGAATCTAAACCATCCTTGAATTGACTTGAACACACACAAAAAAGAAGAATTATATATATAAAGATATAAATAACGTACAAAAAACAATGCCACGTCTTCGTGGACGAGGAGGAAATATTGGTCGACGGACTCGGAATTCACAATTACTCCAGAACCGTCGGTTAAATATATCGACAGAAAACAATGAAAATGTAAGAAACCAGGATACAATCACACGTGCTAATGAAAGTCAAAAGTAACGCAACGAACGCCTTCGAGCTAATGCATTGAGACAAAGACTGGCCCGTCAACGAGTCACCGACACATTCAGTATACAGCGATTGCAAGTGTATCGCGCATTGACACGTTCATCATTTCATCGCCTTGCGTTTGAATATGAGTCGGATATCGACTATTCGTCAAATTCACGTATTGTAATCCGTGCTATAAACAAACAGTGTCAACACTGTCATGCACTCAAATACAAAGGTGAATCGACCGGTTTCTGCGGTCATCTGGAAAAGTTGTATTGCCACCATTGAATTCGCCGCCAGAACCATTGAAAGCACTATTGGCTGGAGCTACATCTCAATCAAAATTGTTTTTTCGTAAAATTCGCCAATTCAATTCGTGCTTTCAAATTACATCATTTGGGACAACAAAAATCGTTCAGAATGAGAATGAATCTTAAACGTTCAATCAACGTTTAAGATTCAGGGCCAAGTGTATCACCAAATTGGTTCTTTAATGCCGATGATGAGGAGCAGCAAATAAACGCACGTTGCCAGTACAACCATATCGAGCAGATGGAGGAGTGAGAAATTCTGAGTATTTTAGAACCGTTTTTACAAAATCACAACCAGTTGGTTCAATACCGGTTCAAACAGACTGCTAAACGACAACTATGCAATCGTCATCAAAGCAGACAAAGTACCGTCTGGGTAACACGCGGACTGATATAATGCACCGACTATTAATGAAGTTGAGATATACAAATACAACGCAGAGATAACACAGTGCCTACGATTGCAGACAGTCATCGCTCTTACGACGCTTTGCAATATCCATTGATATCTTTTTTTCATTTAAAATGTAGTGCTTATAAGGATTTGAAGTAACATGAAAATATTTGTAACATAAGTAATGCATGTGAACTTTTTGTAGTTCAAAAAAAAAAATCAATTCAAAAGGTTAAGTTGAATAACAACAAATATTATAACTCAGCTGAGCCAGGAAAATTAATTGCAAAGGGAAACAACGTTCGCCGGGTCAGCTAGTATAAATATAAATATAAATATAAATATAAATATAAATATAAATATAAATATAAATATAAATATAAATATAAAT